TTTATTTCAGGGGACAACACAACTGGAGGCAAAACAGCTGGTCTGGAGGTCTGTCCCCCCCCCCACCATCCCCCTGTTAAGAACATAGAAAGGGGAGGCAGGAGAATATGGGATTTGGGCTCTCCCACTCCCAGGACTCAGAAGATTGAACCTGGATGAGGGCATATATCTCTTACTTCTTCAGCACGAAAAATTCCTGCCTCCCTTTGAATGAGAAAGCATCCACCACTTACCCAGGATCACAGCTGGATCTCTTCCCTTCCAAAGTTTCCTGCAGTTTTATCTCCTGCAAAACTGGAAGGATTAAAGAGAAAGAGTGCAGTGTCCTAGAGAGGCAAGATGTGCGCATCCTCCTCTGGAATCCACCTGTATGTAGCATTCGCCCTCCAGTGGTTCAATGCCAAAATGCATGGATGTTGTTTTTGCAGATGGAGCTCCTGATGAATTGTATGTACGTACCTTGCAGTTGCTCATGCAAAAAAGGAAGAAAGGTGCATTTCTCATGTGGATCAGGAAGCCTTCTCAATCCAAGTACTTTTGACAATGTTAGACCCATCTGCAATCCTCCATATTTAAGAAAATCTGGAGAAAGCTGAATCCCTGTAGAGGGGGCAAAGGAGCAGATGAGAAATGGAATTCTGCCTTCTTTTCACTCAAGAGACTCAAAATAATCCTATCTTGACTCTGCACCCCACAAAAGAGGACAATGGGAAACTCCTGACAGGCGTTCACAATTCTGTTATCATATCACAGCAATATTAAAGAGCTCCAATAGTCTTGGTGGTGTCTGATTCCTGATCTGGCTTGCCTGAAAGGGTGGTGCCCTTCAACTGCAGAGAGCCTTAGAGGAAGCAGGTTATTTAGCTCCTTGACAATCAGTTTCTGGCCAGCATGCTACATGGATATTGCATTGGTTGCACTTATGGAGAATGTAGTATTGGGGGAGTGCAGCCCTCATTGATCTCTCAGTGACTTTCAGTGCTACTGATCATGGCTTTTCTACTGCAATATCTCTCAGGGAATGCACTATTTTGCAGTGCTTCTCCTCCTTCCTAAAGTAGCATTGAATGAAACATCTTCATCAGGGTCCAGTCCAAACCGGGAATAAACAAAACGGAGACTGCTTTAAAAAGAAGGTTGTAGTTTTTTAAGAGCAGAACCACAAGACGTGAGGCTCTGGAGCAGCTGACCACATGTTGCTGGGAGTGGGTTTTTATGCCTTCTTGGAGTTTTGTGTTTGAAGTTCTTCCTGTTTGAGGCTGTTCCTGTGATTTTATATTTCCTGTGTCATGTACTTTGACCTGAGTCTGAGTGTGTCCCTTCTGGTATTCTGATGGTGATGGTTAATCCTATTGTGTCCTAATGGCCATGTCTTTGTTTTTCTAATTATCTCAGCTCCAAACTTCCTGCCCCCAACCTTCCTGGATTATCAAATCTGCATTTGTAAAAGCTGGTTTCTGAGTTTCTGCTTGGGGGAGACTAGGGCTGGTTTCTGTCTAAGATTTTTCTCCCATTACTTTGGAGGAATTTGCCTTTTATAATACTCTCCAAAATCATTCTTTCTCTAGGAGGGTGGGTGGGTGCTTCCAACAATAGTGATGGTGGAAGAGAGATCTGTCCAGAGAAAGCTATTCTGTGCATGCTCTAGGGATCTCTCCAGTTGTCCCTTCTTTTTTAAAGATCTACTGTCCTGATCCAAGTCTAGTAGGCATATGCAGGCACCAATAAAGTATTTTATTGCACTGCTAAATCATGACAGACAGCCCTCCAGGGATGTTGGTAAACCTTCACCACACTTTTCCCCAACAACCAGCCATCCAGTCAATGTAACCAGCTGAATCCAATAGTTGCCAGAAACAAGTTCCCAAACAGGAAGAAAGACGAAGTCCACAAACTTGGTGCAAGGTTGCAAAAACAAGATCTGTAAGACACAAGCCAAAGTCAGAGTCCATAAAGCAAGCTATACAAATCCTGAGGCTGAAACGTGAGTCGGAGCCCAGAAGTCAAGGATTCCAAAAGTCAGGGGAGTGAAATGGGGTGGAGAAGGCAGCTGTTCCTCATCAGAGGGGATCTGTTGTCTCTCATCTCCACTGCTTGTCTGCAGCCGATCCTCCCGTGTTTGTGAAGACAGGCAGTCCCCGTCTGATTGACCATTTTCTACAATGTTGGAGGGGCCTGGGACAAAATCATCCTCAGCTTCTGGACTCCCCAGATGTTCTAGGGGAGATATACCATCCCCATCGGGTGGTCCTGGTTCCAACTCCTCCTCCGAACCGGGATCCTACAGAGCCATGACATCTGCATGGAATTGCTGGGGGCCATCACCCATTCTCCTACAATCTGGTATCCTCAGTGTGCATGTGATATCCAGTTATTATTCATATTCACAAGCCAAACTGGTGATATGGTGAAAGTGCTGACTAGATGTCAGAGACTGGATGGGAAGGAAGAGATTCAGTGAATGAATCTCTGCAAGGTAGAGTACTTCGGGTTTGTAGAAATTTCATCTTTGACTTTTAACAGAGATATACTAATGAATGATTCACAATTCAATGTTTCTCCTAGACTTAGTGGGGTGGGCTGCTTAAAATCATTCATTGCCTAATCACAACAATGCAGTTCCCCATATATAAGAGTTTTCAGGAAGAAGGAATAGGACATGCATCTGAAGTGATTCCTCTGCCTTTGGAGAGGCAGGCTAAACAAAACTGGAAGAGAGATTGAATCGCATATCAGGACAAAAAACAATTTTGAAGGCAAGAAAAATTTAACAGTAATCAATGGTTTAATATTAATAATGATCCTCTGCATGTTTTACTCAGCCCACTAGAGTCTGTATGTGCATTTATGGACTTTCTGAAAATAACCATGGGGATCTTTGCCCTGATACAGCTACTTCAAAGCCTTGTTCCCCTCCTATTTTATGGAGGCTGTTTGTTGTTTGCCATTTACTTTTCATGGTTTGAAGTGCATGTGTATTACTTTCATATTGAACAGCCCTTCTTCTCTGACATCCTAAAAAACCTGGATGAATATAAGTGAGAAGCTCCCATCTTTAGCTGGCCAGGGTTATTTGTCCAATTTCCCAGCTGTGTGGAGGGAAATGCTACCATTGGGCTATGTTTGCTGGGACTGGTGAAAATGTCTGTTCTCCTTAAGATTCTTAAGAATCTTAATAAGGAAAAAGAAGTAAAGCATGTTGCTGTTAAACTGAAGGAAACTAATGTCATGGAGAACATTTGTGTGGTGTTTAGGAAAGAACTATAGGAAAGTGTGTGAAGGTATTAGTTACAAGCTCGAAAAATGTGGGAAGTTTTGTGCTTTGTTAAGTTGTAAGTGGTCAGGTGCCTCCTGTCTCTGCTGAACAGCTTCAGCCCTCAGGAAATTGTTGATGGCATCTGGGTTTGTGCTGTTGTTTTCTTGCCCCAACTCCAAATTGAGGCACTTTGCCCCATCCAATGTCTCCAGCCTTTTTCTGTTGCTTCTTCCATTTACTCAGCTTTGGCATGATGTGCTCTAACCATGCCTGCCTCTTGCCTAGTTACATAGTTGGAGGTCAGGATCAATGGTGAAGATGAATGATAGGGGGAGAATGTAAAGGCCTCCACATATAATTGATATGAGCTGAGCCCTGTCCTCCCTTCAGAACATTTGAACTATTTTACAAACCGTTTTATATTTGAAGTTTCAAAACTGACCCTTGCTTTGCAAGCTTCATACTCATCGCAACTGAACCATTTTGAGTTTGCACCAAGATTTCACCGAGTGCTTCTGCCTGTGAAGAGGACAACTCTTGTGAGATTGAGATTCATTGATACCAGAGCTGCTGCTTCTTCACTGGCTGTGCACCCTGGGAAAACCAATTTGAAATTAGAACAAGATAATTGGGGAGGGGGAAAAATGATTGGATATTAAGGAAACCTGTTCATTAACAGGATGGTCCATTGTCTTTATTTGCCTAACAACATTGTAAACATAAGAATTACCCCTTGCAAGCAAATAAAGTACTCTGACAGGGGTAGAAGGGTGCACAGGAAGGAACAGTTGCAAAAGACTAAATCTGTGTTTCTTAAAACTTTTTGCTTTCAGGACCCATTCCCTTTTTTAAAAAGCCCCAAATAACTTTTTTTTGTACATTTAACAAAGTTTACCATTTAAAAATTAAACCTGATGCCTTTGTAGATTTACTGCCTCATGTGACAACAGTATTGAACTCACTAGATATTAACACATTTCATGAAAATCCTTTTTATACAAAAATGACTATTTTTTTGCAATTGTCTTAAATATCTGGAAAATAATTTATATTTTGCAGATTCTTGAGAGTGTCTAAATTAACACACTGTCAAAACTCAGTTTATGCAACCCAACACCACTGCAATCCATTAGGTTCCAATGACACAGTAAACCACAAACTAACCAAAGAAGCTTAGTTCCACACAACCACACAGGACGAAAAGGTGACTCGCTTGTTAATCATTTGGTACAAAGCGTGAATCCAATTACTGTAGTAAGATTTCAGCGAAGACCCAGAGTTGTGGCATGTAGTATACATTTTCACTGGGACTCACAAATCCTTTGAGATTTGGGGAGATTTATTCCCGAAGAAAACACTGGTATGAAGTCACAGGATTCAGATGCTACTAGTCCCGGAGCAAAGGCCGGAAGCAGAACAACCGGCCATAAACAAGTCCGTCGCTGTCTCCTTCCGCGCAGCTACGAAAAGATTAAACTTCCACGCGCAATAAGAAGAGAAAAACGTCTGAGCGCGGGGAAACGAAGACCACGCCTTGCGGTCACGGAGTTTCATCCTATTGGTTTCCAACTACCCCGCCTACTGCAGGCTCGACTCAGAGCCTGACCTATGGAGATGCACAACTCACCGCACGGGAGCTGACTGAGCCACCTGTGCACTCCCATTGGACAGAAAGAGAAATGTCCGCTTGCGATTGGCTGATGCGTTTGGAAGCCCTTCTTCTCGATACTTCCGTTCGGTCACATGTTGGAACCCGTGAGAATGAGTGATCCGTGCTCGTTGTAGGATCTCGGTGTAAGTAGCGGTGATCTTTGACAGAAGGGGAGGGATTGGGTATCCTCCAGGCGCATTTTACAACTAGGAGAAAGAGGTGCAATCCACCCACAACTTTCGTCACTTAGCCTGATCTGAACCCATCAGTTTTGGCCCAGTTCAATGACACGCATTTAGGCGCATTTGATTAAAGGGGCGCATTTGATTAAAGGAGGTAAGATGCAGAAATCTTAATGCTGATCAAGACAAAATCCACAAGGTTCCATTAACGTCCCTAAGTTCCATTTCCCGATGTCTTATCAATGCATCAATGCCACTGGCCTGTGATGATGCGCTGAAGGGCATCACGTTAAGAGATGGATGCTGGAAGCATATTCTGCTTTGCACTGATGATGTTACCTAGTTTGGATAATGAAACGTCTGCAAAAAAACAACAACAACCAACCTCAGACAGCAAGCACCAAGGACCCCTCATTTCAACCCGAGCTACAAATATTCGTCTTTATTGGTAACACTTAAACATTATTGGTACCCAACCTTTGTAGGTAACATTTGTGTGCTTAAATTGTGTACTGTATGTATTGTCTGGATGCAATGAAAAAAGTATTGTTTTTGTCCTATCACTGATGGGATAAAACAGAGTAGTTTGAATAAAAAGGTTTTTTAGCAGAGCAAGATTCCGGCTGGAAACTTTCTGAGGGGAGCCAAGTGTCTTCAGCCTGGCTTTGCTGAAATCAAATTGCTTTCAATTTGTCTTTCTATAGATTGGTCCACAGAAATTACAAGCTTGCATTTTCATCTGATCTTTTTGCATGGGCGTTTAAATTATTTTAGGATAAAGTAAAGCAAAAGTGAGTTTCTGTTAATCTTGATAGCTTAAAGATGCTTCTTGTTCTGGATCAGACCGATTGTGTCACCAGATAACTTTAATTGAAGAGATGCTAGTGATTGAATCTGAAACACCAGTTAAGCTGTGGACACTATCCCTCTTCCTCTGATTCTCTAAGCTTGCTTCTTTGGACTCACCTATGGCCACCATGGGAATAACTACTAACAAACTTATACAACCTGGCTTAAAATTGCCTTGTAAACCAATAGAATGAAAACAAAACATTTTCCCTCCTTGCCAGTGCATATATTTTTTAAAGCACAGGTGACAATTGGTCATAATTAGAGTTTGTGATTTTGAGCTTAGAACTTGGCAATATATCAGAATGGACTGTTCTGTCTTTTAGAAATGGCCATCATAAGATGACTGAATTGGATGATGAAAATAAGGGCATCAAGCCTGCTGCCTATGAAAGAATAGTACTGAAGAATGTTTCTCAATATCATTATTTGAAGATCCATTTGTAAGTTCAAATCCCTTTTTTTAAATATTCCCATTCCACTTCTTCTCAGTTCTGTATAACATTTAACTTTTTTATGGCTTATACTTACTAATAAACCTTATTACAAAAATGAATTGTAGGGAATTTGAAGAAGCTGGCATAAGTTTAAATGCTGTTGATTTCAAGCAACTTATCATCTCTGCTTTGAAACGGCTCCATGGTGAGGTATGTAATTTTTGTTTGAATTATTTTGAGATAATTTTGACTCCTTTGCAACTTCTAATTTATTTACAGTATATTCAGAAGGGGGGATTGGAATGGAAGGCTGTAAAAAGTGGTTTGATCGAAATCTCTGTATTAGGAAAACTTTTACTAACTGTAGTTGTATGCAACACTGAGTTAGGATTCAGGTTGTTAATAAGCTGCTTCTTTGCATATCGGCCTTTGTCTGGTGTTAGTTCATATCCTTTAAAACAGAGTGGTCACTTAGTTTCTTCTTTATACTCTGGCACTATTTCCTGCTTCATAATAACTTCATTACTAAAATCTAGTATCAAATGACAGCAATGTTTTGTTATATGGGAAAAATAATAAGAGATGTCAAACATTGATTGGCCATGCATCTGTTTTAACCACTCAAGTCACCAAAGATTTAAAGAGGGGCAGAAATTCAATTGCATGGTTGCCATGTCCCTTGCTGTCATTTGTAGCCAAAGAGATAAATAACCCTTCCCCAAACTTCATTTATGGTTTTTGGCAGCAAAAGAATCATCTATGTTTTAAATGAGGCAGGATCAGGCGATGCCTCCAATTACAAGTACCAGTTGTTTCTCCCAGATATAAGGGGCCTTGGTGATTAAAATGTGTACAAGAAAAGTAGATTAAAAAAGAATGAAAATGATGAAAACAAATATTCAAGATCATCTCATTTTGTGCATTATTCTCCATTACATCCTATAATAGTGGTGGCGAACCTATGGCACGGGTGCCAGAGGCGGCACTCGGAACCCTCTCTGTGGGCACACGCACCGTCTCCCCGCCTCCTCCCACAGCCCTCTCACCAGCAGCCCCCCTGGAGGAGAGACACCCGTGGGCGCAACCCATGCGAAGCAGCGCAACCAAGGACATGGTAGCCAGGCAGCGGGGACAAGACTCTGCCCTTGCGCCCTATCACATGTAGATGATGTTGCGGGGCATGGGCGGAGGGCGTGGCCACCATGGCGCTGCTGGGCTGCCTGGGTGATCTGTGGCGGGCTGTGGAGGTGGTGAGTGGCCCAGTGGGCAGGGCAGAGCAGGGATGGGGGTGGGGGGCGGTTTTTGGGCACTCGGTCTCTAAAAGGTTCGCCATCATTGTCCTATAAGTTTGGACTTGTAATGAAATATATTGAAAAAACTCATTGAGTTTACCTTAAATACTAGGTTTGTAATTACATCAAATTAAACTAATTGTAGTGGTGGAATAGAACTGAACTTCTTATAAGAACTTTCTTAATGACTTTGAGACTTTAAAGTGCATCCTAATAACAGTGGTGTGTTTCCTTTTAGGTTGGTTCTGCGTTGCCTGTTGATGTTTTGACATATGAGGAAAAAACATTGACTGCCATACTTAGAGTATCTAATGCGTAAGACATTTTGAATAAATTTTCTTGGCACGTGTGCTTAGATAAAGGAATGTTCTCTAACATAATAGTAAAAATGAAGAAAATTCTTTTTTACATTCAAGCAAGGTATCATAAATCTTGTACCATTGTTTTTCAAACTTGGCAGTTTTAAGATGTGTAGACTTCTCCCCTGCTCAAGCTGGGAAATTCTGGAAGTTGAAGTGCACATATCGTGAGGTTGCTAAGATTGAGAAACACTGGTTTGTGGAGTTCTCTGAGCTTGCTTCTTTGCTTGCAGATGTTCATTACCCAGTTAGCTGACGTCATCAGGGATAGTGAGTGTGTGTGTTTGCTCCCTGTTTATATTCACTAGCTTGTCCTGCCAAGTGTTGGTAGAGGATGTGTTCTAATCTATTGCCTTCTTAGTTTTTTATTGTCTCTTGAACAGTTTGTAAATGTGGTTTATCTCTATGTGTCCATTGATGGCTGATTGGTCTGAATGCTTAGTTTCCAGAAATTCTCTAGCATTTTTGGATTTGGCTTGATCTAGATTGCTTACTATTTCCCAATTGAAACTATGGTTGGATCTGTCCATAGTTATGAGATTAAGTAGCTTTCAATGTGTCTTCTGACTGCTAGTTGGAGTTCATGGATGAACTCTGCTCGTCCTCTCCAGCAGCCTACACCCAGATAAGCAGGGATTAACACCAGTCAAAAAATAAAGCAGAAAACAATATCCTAATTAAGAAATGACCAAGGAGAAAGCCATACCCTTACTAATACTGGCAGAGCAAGCTGCTGTATATAAACGGAACAGACCCCATACTCACTACATTAATTACATTAAATGCAATTGTTTTATCAGGAAAGCATCAGTTGTTATCTTAGCATAAATATTGGGAAATTTCAGCCTCAAGTTTATTTTGATCTAATTTCTGGACAGATATGGCTCCTAGCTCATTGAACCTTGATTCTATTTACCATGAAATATTTATGGCTTACTTTACTTGCCTACTGATTAGTCATTTCATTAATATATCCAATGTTGTTATTTATACAGTGGCCTAGCAAAACTGTGGAGTGCTCTGTCACTGCTTGGTTCTTACCAGAACAGAAAGTGTGCCTTCAGGGTGATACAGGTAAGAATTGAGAAATAATCAGTTGAAAGCCTTATTTGTTCAATAAAACAGATTGTAGCTCTGGCACTTTTAGATCTTATATTGAAGATGGGCAACCCATAGACTATATTCACATGCATTTCTTTCCAGGCGTGTCCTGTGTTTTCCTTAAAGTATTATAGTTGACTTTCACTGTGTGTGGGTGTATGTTTGGTGTTCTGTGTTTTATTGCTTTATATTTTTTCAATAGTTTTTTTAACCTGGCCAGAGAAACAGGATAAATATATTTTTCTAAGAGTGTGTTTAGTTTACTGTCTGCTGCTTCACTGTTGATTGCTTTATTTTATTACTATTTTTCTTTTTTCTTATTTTTGGAGAATAATTTCATCCCAGCTTTTTCTGCTCTGAGTACAAATAGCCTGTTGCTATTAGCAACTTATATTTCTTGAAATCCACCATTACTTACGACACCATTTCCTTTCATCTCATTCTACTTGAAACGTTTGAGTTCAGCCACTTAACCATCCTGTCCTAGGCTTGCAATTATTAAATTTGGTCTCCAAGGAAATTAATCAACTGCCATTTATTTGCTTAAACTTGCCTGGATGTTCTTTTATGCAAACGGAATTGTTTTTGTGCTTCTGTTTGAAATTTTGTTTTTCCTTTCTCTCTAGACTTCTCCATTTCTTCTTGCGTTAGCTGGGAATAGCAGAGAAATGGTGCTAGCTTAATTATTCGGTTGATTTTGGTTTGTATAACACCAAAATGCTGATGACATTGCCCAAATACAGATTTTTTTGTGTGAGACTCGGGAGAATATTTTCCACAAAGCCAAGCGTGTCCATGCCATTCTTCACTCAACACCGTGTTCAGCTTTTACACATAAATGTTGGAGACAAAGCTGAAATAATTAAGACGTTCACCTCAAAGGATATTGTTACCTTTTCTGAATTAACAGGGGATACAAACCCATTACACTTGGATGAAGAATATGCAAAGAAATCAAGATTTGGGAGAACAGTTGTACATGGTGTTTTGATCAATGGACTTATTTCAGCTGTCCTAGGTACAAAAATGCCTGGGCCTGGGTGTATCTTCCTTTCTCAGGAAATTAATTTTCCATCTCCTTTATATGTTGGAGAAGAAGTCTTGGCTTCAGCAGAAGTGAAGAAA